AACAAAAAAAGAAAAAAACAACAAACTTTTTTCAAACAAACAAGCAAACACATCAGGACTTATATTTGTATCATAGGTATTGCGTGTGCCTGTGTACGCGCCTGTGTGCGCGCCTGTGTGTGAACGCAATAGAATGAGTTGTAGTTTAATTAAGGTTTTTGATTAAATATTTATTTTTATTGAAATTATGATACTTTCGTTATGACAAAAAAAAAAAAGAAAAAAAAAAAGACAAAAAATAACTAAAATTGCAGTCACATTTTTTTGTTTTTGTTCTTCAATTTATTTCAGATTTGAATTTTGCAATGGAAACTACGTAGGTTGGAAGAACTCAGTACGACATAATCTTAGCTTAAACGATTGCTTTAAAAAGTTACCAAAAAGCATGGGTGTAGGGAAGCCGGGCAAGGGCAGTTACTGGACTATTGCGGAAAATTCGGCTTATATGTTCCACGATGAGGGCAGCTTAAGACGTAGACCGAGAGGTTATAAGGCGAAAATGAAAGGCAAACCTTATGCAACAACTAATGGATTTTATTCGAACAGTTCTTTCGATACAGGAATGGTAGGATTTATTGAAATTTTCAATGGAAACATTTTTTTGTTTTTTTTTTTTTCTTTTGTTTTTTATAATAAATTATGATTGATTTATCTGCTTTAGGATAACGGTAATTTTTATGGTACCCAAGGCGGTTTTAGCGGTTACGAATACCCGAATACGTTAGTAACGGGCAGTTTTGACAACTGGTGTCCATCGCATTCGCATGCTCACGCGCAGAATTCTCTATCTCAGTACCCGAATTTACCAGTGGCCTCTTCTTCTGGCGCGTTACGCACAAATAATGCCACGCCACCCTTGGCTCACTCAATTGCCAACATATCAGGTAGTGATTCGCCTTCCGTCCCCTCAATAACCATTGCGACAACATCGTCTTTGCAAAGTTCCAATCCTAACTTAGATTATGCTACTGCTTCGCTAGTTGCAGCCAGCACTGGTTATGCTTACGGCGGCGGTGGTGGTACATATAATATGGAGAACGGTAAATATTCATTTATCATATCATTCGCATACGCTCATATGGTTATATATGTGCTCAGTTTCATAATATCAAGTAAAATGGGTGATCTTGTCAATCATATCATCTCAACTAATAAAATCGCGTTGACATCTTAAAGCCATTAAAGGCGCTTAATCTGCATGATGATGCATGAATTTATGCGCGTTTTATGATACGCGTTTAATTATATTGCTGCAGTCAGTGCCATATGGTGCCGTCGTTAAATTCGCTTATAAGTTCTTAATGTGAGTGTGTGTGTTTTATGAAATTCAAAAATTACATAAACTATTCATAGAGAGAATTAATTGTTCAAACAAAGTACATATCATTATCCTTTTATTTTTACATATATTTATATATATTTATATATAAATATATATACATATATATATATATGTATATATACATATATAAATCCTTGTTCTGTAGCAAATCCAATATTGACGAAGTGTAACCGATAAATGTATGAGAGGTTTTTCATCACTGAAACAAAACGAGTAAGAAAATTTAAGCTCGATTGTCTCGAGTCCCTTTTATATCCATCACTTTCATCTTTTATGCCGACTATCCTCTATTTAAAGAAAAAAGTCGCAATAGGAAAATTTGGTATTCTATAAGATTGAATGGGTACAAGGTATTATAGGATTGGCCCATAGAAATACGTGGAAATTTCTATTGTTATATCTACCTACTCGTAGTACATTGGCTACATTGACCTTGTTCGAATGTTTAAAATACACGGATGGATTCGAAATACATCCACATTTTATAATGCCGCTCGATTTAAAATCAGCTTATCTGTCCCTCTATACGTATTATGATGAAATTTGGTACATCGACTTGTTTTGTTTGACCAAAGGACGAACTACCACGAATTCAACTTTTATTATACCGCTTGATTGGAAATTAGCTTGTCTGTCCGTCAATCCATATCGCTACACCAGATCAAAACATGTCTTCGATCATTGCTCATATGATGCCGACTTGTTGTAGGTTGATTTAAGAATTTTAATGGTGAGCTGTGGCTCACAATAATTGTTTTACTTGTTGTTTATTAAGAAAATTTAAAAAACGCAATTTATGGTTTTTGGTGTTTGAAGATAAAGTTTTCGGTTATGCTGTAGCAAAGCAATGTCGTTTGGTCAGTTTGCCTGCAAGAACTGCTAATGTCTTTGCCAAGTTTGAAATTGATATTTGAATATTTTACGATCACGAACGTGTTTAATAAAGACAGACAGATACCTAGACAAATAGGAGCTGGCTGAGGGACATATTTAGATCGATTCAAATATTGATGCTGATACAGAGTACGTGTGCACTGTGCGGAGTCCTTAAAGCTGTTTGTTGCAAACATTTGCGCACTATGACTAGGTGTTTACCAACTTGCTTGGGTGATGGGTATAAAAATTCACAAAAAACAAAAAAAAAAAAACAAAAAAAATTCAAACTAACCAAAATTCCCTGAATAGAGAAATTGCACAAAAAAATTGTGACGCAATTGTTGCATAACATATCCTTCAATTTAATATTATTTTTTTTTTTTTTGTATTTTGTATTAAGTCCATTAGTAGTCGTAATACGTATGTCCACGATTTCATTGCCCGCCTGAGAATAGGAGAAACAAAAAAAAAAAAAAAAGAAATTCAGAAAAATTATTTATGATTTTACACCTTGCACCTGCCTATTCGCTACGAAAATAAATAAAAATTGAACTGCAGCAAAAAGGCTGGTCTTTTGTAGATTTCCTTCTGCCCGATCGAATAAATTGTTGAAAACATCCATCATTCGTTCATTCATTTTACAACACATTAATAACATGACATGTGATACAGATTATGACGGCATTTAATTCGAAAGCTTAATTGCTCTAATGAGGCGCATAATTAAGATCGCGAAAGCTAACGAAAATTTCGACTTTGTAATTGTTTGCTTGCACTTTTTCAGGTCTACGTTCGTTAAGTTTGCCACAAAGTTCTTCGTTAACAATGCTCTCCTCGCATCAGCATTCAGCAGTCACGGTAGCAACAAGCAATCATCATACCTCGATGACACCTCCGTCGCCACCGTCAACGGCTGCGTTAGCAACCAGTTCCCCCATATTAATAAATACCCCTACGTTAATAGATCGTAAACCTGTTTATTTACCGCCGTTAACTCCGCCCTCGGCCAATATGTCCACATCGCCATTACACCATCATCATCATCATCATCATCATCATCATCATCCATTGAATACGACTAGCAGTACTAATGGCGGTAATGGCGGTAATGGCGGTAATGGCGTTAATGGTGATAATGATGCGAACAACTATTATGAACATATTAAATATTCTAATTAATGAACGACGGACGAATATCCCTTACAAAATCATTTAAAGATAAGTTAAACGATTAAAGTAATTAAGTAACAAAAAAAAAAAAAAACAAAAAAAATACAACCACAAAAACAAGTGAAATTAAAAGCAAAAAATAGCAAAACTTAGTGAGTCGTAAAAAAAAAGTATAAGCGTAAAATATCACAACTGTGTGCTAGAGTAAGTGTAGTCGCACCGATTTTATGTTTATAGTTCATTATGAAAGTCGGTCGGAAAGGAAAACATGCAAATTAATTATTATGAAATTTAAATAAATGCTACGTTTTTAAAAAGTCTATTAAGAAAGAAATGCCGATCATTATCACGATCCATCTCTCTTTCTCTCTCTCTCTCTCTCTCTCTTTTTTCTCTTCTCAAAGGCGTTAATATGCCGTTGTAAAGTCTTGCAACTAATTGGGACGAATAAGCTGTCGATTTAAAAAGAAAGGTAAATATTTTTCCGCAAGAACACGAACGATCATCCGAAAGAAGAAAAGACCAGAAAAGTAAAGAACAAAAAATATGTGTTTCGATTAAAGTGGAACTACAATCGTAATTAAATCAGTAGCCTGATAGTAAGCATATCATGGTTTCTCCACTAAAGTCAGTGAACCGTCACCGGCCAAGAACGTTGCAGCATATTTAACTTAGTCCCTAGCAAAGCTTTTAAGGTTTCGAAATGGCTCGAAATGAGTCGCTACCATGCATAGCATTGTGCAAAATGGGCAATGGGTCCCGTTGTCGTTGCGCTTAATTTTTAGTTCAATAGCGACGTTCGGCGTGTACGTTAAAAATGTCCTCTATATTGACCATTATGAACGTCACTGTAGGACATTTTTGATCCATCCTGAATATTGATTTACAGCAAACTAATTAAGGATCTCACATACATATATATGCGTCAAGGACAATTTGTATCAAATTGACCACAGGAATGACATAGGAAAGTGAGCGGGAAGCTCGATTCAGTATTTCACGTTAAATAGGAGTGTGTATATTTGATAGATAATACTTGCAGATACCGTAGTTGAAATACCAAATATATATATGCTTGTGCTTCGCTAGTGGTTGGGAAAAAAAAAAGAAAAAAGATCTCTGCTGAAATCACCTGAATGCTATGTTAGCGGCATTCGCATCAACTAATCGTAAAAGCAATGCCCCCCCCTCCGTTTTGAATGTTGGATTGTTTATACAACAACAAAGCTTGGGAATAAAATAAATAAAAAAATTAGATGAACAAGTCGACAAACCTATTTAAAGTTGACTACTTACTATTTCGCCGCTTTTAAGTGATATTTTGCTGTATTCAAGTTTCCCGCAATATCGCATCTGGCCCTTTCAACCGTGAATAATGGAAAAATATATCATCAATTCTCAACGGTAGTTGCATGCAACCTTCGACTTGATAAATTAAAAACATGCAACAGAATGAGAAATTTCAGACTTTCAGTTCAAGTTCTCATTCAACTCTATCGTCTTCCCATCTAGATGATGCAAGACCTTATCGCAAAGTTTTGCGTGATAATAACTGCGATATCAGCTGCTTAAGATGATGGAGAGTTATGATCTAAAATATTGATCAGTTATCGGGCAATGGGAAAATCTTCTTCGAGTCGCGATCATACATTTTTTAATTAAATACTGCCCCGCACTTATTATCATTAATTTTCGCGGAAATTATGATGTGACGTCGTCCCAAAACTATAAATAATCGTAGCCACAACAAGAAAATTCGCGTAATTATCAATCGCGTCACTCCACAACAATGCAGTCATACAGTAGACAAATGGTTATATAGCTCCGTGAAATGAATCGCCTATAAATCGAGATCATAAGCATTTCTTTTACGATTCATTTTCAACTTTACATTTCTAATCGATCAGGGATTTCAGATTCCTATATTCCTACTTACGACTTTAGCAAATCGATCGAAAAATAGAGGATCAAGGCGAGCGCTTTTGGTAGAGATAGGTGTAAGTCATCGGCATCTCGAAAGCTAGACCACGTAGGGAAAAAGTGATTATAGATAGCTTTACAGGCTTTTTCATAGAAATGAATAAAACCGAAAAATTTTGGACCATTAAATGCTTTATAATCCTTTTTTTTTTTGTGGAGATTAAATATTTAAATTGATCAAAATGACGTACTCGGTCACGGTTCTAGGCTAAAATAATTTCTTCACATTAATTTGATTATCCAAGATGAGTTGAGTGCATTTACAAATTATATATATATATATATTATACATATACAAATTAGCGATGCTTAGAAGATGTCCAATAAGGGACTGGGGGGAAAAAAAAAACCGAATACAAAAACTTTATTGCATTTGCTGATACTAGGCATCCATTGAAGCGTCGATTGGCGAACATATAATGCTACATGCAGTTCTCTCCCCAGCCTAACACGGTACAAAATTTCCAAAACCGGGTTCCGATAAAAGTCGAATAATTGTTATCCTATTTTTTATTATTATTTCATCGTTAATAAGTGAACAACTGCAACTAACTGGCTGTAATTTGTGTGTGAAAATTGTTGTTCGCGATCGTTGTCATTGTTCTTTGAATACATTTTTATTATTTGTATATAACTAAAATATTTTTTTTTTTTTATAAAAATTTGAACGAAATTTCATAATAAAATTTTGATCATCAAATTTTATAGCTTAAGGCACACATAGCACGAGTTATTCTTATTATTTCAAGGTATCTCGATACAATACGAAAGACGCTTCGCTAGGACACGCTGTACATTTTTCTTTTCTATTTAAGTTCAAATTATTTTATTCTAGATTATAATTTAGTTTAATTAAAAAAAAGTTTCGTTAAACATGTTTTCGATACGGATACCACGGTACAAATTAATCGTCTTTTAAGCGGAGGCCCGCTTATATGTACCTATTGGTGGCTCTTTTTTGTCCTCAATATATGCTTTATGTACATCATAGCGCATATTCACTTAAAAATACTAATCTGCTTCTGCTTAGTAAACGTTTGACGCAATATAACGTCATATCAGAGACAACAAAATACATACATGTTCCAACATTTTGTTTAAAAATTGACATTACGAGATTCTTGGATGCTTTTTGTGCATCAATTATCAATAGCAGAGGTAACGCTCATAAATGGCAGCCATTCGTTTACTCTCTGCTCTTTCATTCTCCTTATTGATTCCGCATATTTGATATCGCATATTAAATATATAAATATCGCCTGTGTGGCCAAGTAAGCTACATACCTTGACTAACCATAAGATTAATGGTCGTAGGTTTAGATCTCAAGTGAGGTAGATTTTTCAATAAAGCCCATTGGCTTAGATGCTAATGCAGTAATGTCATGACATTTTGAACTGTTTCATATGAAACAAAAATCATATGAATTTGTCAACCTAGTCATCCTACGAACTTATTGAGCGATTCGTTATCTCCATTCTTCAGGCAATGAGTTTTTCGTTCATTTTGCCCTACATTTCTGTGTGCGGCCATCTGTTTTTCATATAATTTTTTCGTTTTTGTTTTCGAATAAGACACACACAATAGTAAAACAAATATTATTATTGGTTTGTGTCTTCGATAGCGTTCGCAAAAACAATGAGAAACATCCTAGAACTACTAAATTCAACAAACGTTCAAAACTTAAACGCTAGCGCTAAGCCTAGTGCTTTACGATATTATTTTTTCGATTTGTTTCTCTGACTAAATTAATTATAACAATAATAATAATAATAAATATATAAATAATAAGTAAATTAGATAGAGATTAATTACTCCTATAATATAACTTAACAAAATCATTATCCTGTGTAGTTTCATGTCGCGCTAATAACCGTTAGATGGCAGTCTCATCTATTCATATAAAAGTCATGTACAAAAACCAAAATACGTAGAAAAACAATTTTTCCTTGACATTGAACGAAGTACTCGTGAAAATAAATGCAAGTAAAGATATTCATTTATAAAATTATCTCATTTAGAACACATTTAAGTTAAATACGATAAGTTAATTGTACACTATTAATAAGATAACCATAATATAACTAATAATATATGCGTGCTAATATAACAAATATAGTATAGTATTAATGTTTCATGATTTTTCTCATACCATGCTTGAAAAATGAGATACCCTTAATGCCTGCCCAATTTTCACTTCATAGACAATTGCCTGTTCACTGCCTGTGTGAATTTTATAACGGAGAAAGATACATTAAGCATATAAGCACGGTAAGCGCCATAAATAAATGGTTAAATTCCCTGTTGAAAGCACAGAGTCGCTTTTAATAAATAAATGTTTAAATGTCCAACTTAACAAAATGTTAACGCCAAGCAGCTAATGTTAAAGGCCCAACTTAATCGACAAAAGGGAATCGATTTTGTTAAATAAAAGACCAAACGCCCAACTTTACCGATAAAAGGGATTCGATTCTGTTAAATAACAAGCCAAAGGGATTTGATTCTGTATAACATTTACGTTATCCAATCTTTTTTTATATTCTTGAGTGTGTTCTAACAAGAGATCTAAACAAGTATTTGGCCCGTAGTAATTACAATTACTACTTTTTCAAGCAACCTTGTAAATGGTATTTTCTCTTTATTTTATTTTCAATATGTGGTTGCATTAGTTGTGAATAGCTTCAAATATGAGTAGACAATGCAAAACAATTTCACAAACCTCCATACAATCTTATTTCCATTATCTAAGGCGATATTTCTAGTACGATATTTTGCAGCCCTTCCTATTCCATCTTATCGATTTGTGTATTCGTCTATGCTAGATGTTTTGCAGTTAATTCTTAATAGGTTTGCGTCTATGATAACCTCAACTGAAATTGAAATAACATTGAGTGGTTCAAAGAACAGCATTTGATTTCAATATTCCTTTCATTGACTTGGTTTCGAAGGAATCGATTCGTGTAAATTTTTCATAAACGATAAATAAGCAAATCAAGGACTTTTCACGATAACCTCATAGTTACTATACACA